TATCTTATTGTATTTACTCTTTTTGTGATGTGAGATGATAAATTGCTTTTGTGATGAGTTTAAATGAGATGAATGTCATAGGCACTGTGGTGTAGCATTAGGCTACTATTGACCTTGAACACAAGCAATGTGATACCTTGAGAGTTAGTCTGATAATCTAGATGGCAGCTAAGTGACTAATGAGCAGGTGGTGTGTACAGCATGGATACACTAGACAGAGGGATGATTCTCATCCTATAGGGCAGTGTGAGGTTTCATTGCACTACTCAGAATGGTGTACAATTTAAAACTTATGAATTGTTAGGCCAGGTGCAGTGGTTCATACTTATAATCCTAGTACTCTGGGAGGCAGATGTGGGTGGATTGCTTGATCCCAGGAGTGCAAGATCAGGTTGGGCAACATGGTAAAACCCCGTCTCTGTCAAAAAACATAAACATTAGCTGGACATGGTGGCATGTGCCTATATTCCCAGCTACTCAGGAGGCTGAGGTAGCAGGATTGCTTGAACCTGGGAGACAGAGATTGCAGTAAGCCGAGATCATGCCACTGCACTCCAGCCTGGGCAACAGAGTAAGACCCTGCCTCAAAAATAAGTAAATAAACAAATAACTTTTGGATTGTTTATTTCTGGAATTTTTCATTTAATATTATTTTCAGACTGCAGTTTACTCTGGATAACTGAAACCATGGAAAGCAAAACCTGTATTTGGTTTCTTAGTTCAAGAATATTTTTTATTATTGGAACTGTGAAGAGTAGTTTCCTTAATAAATGATGTCTTTTGGGATGCTGGTTGGTTGATTTTCTGTTCGTTGATACTAATGTGTTTCTTGAGATTTTAAACTTCATCTACTTTCTTCCTTCTCTTTCTTGGTAGCCAAGTCTCCAAAGGGCACCTCGCTCATTCCTATGTTTCTCACAAGACTTAACTTTTGAACCAAAGTACTTTTGGAGCCCTTTCTTTACCTCTTCAGGAACCAGTGCTATGGTATCCACTAGGTCTTGTACCGATTCACTCTTCTTCTAGGGGAAATCCTAAGTTGATATTGCTTGTGTTTTGCAATGCCTACCTCACTCTTTTCTTAGATGGCAAGACCTCCACAGCTGGTTTTGATGGTTTCAGATGCTAGTTTCCCCATTTACATGTAAATTATAATTTGTAGAAGTCTCTGTTTTCTAGTTATGCTGTTGGTGTGGACTGTAGGTCATTTTATTTGCTTTCCTTGTTAATCTGAGGCGTTTGTAGAATGTGTGAAAATAATCTGATTTAGATGCTACCACTGTTTTACAGTAACTAGTAAGTCATTGTCTGATCACTTTAACAAATGGTTTAGTGCCTCTTCTATGTAGGCCCCAACCTAAATAGTGAGGCCAAAAATATAAATACCCAGAAGTAATCCTTGTATTTGTGTAACATTTTGAAGAAAGACATAAGGTACATTTTAAATATTCATTTAGTAGCTTTGTGAGGTAGGGAATCTTTTCCCCATTTTACAGATAGAGATGCTAAGGCTAAACGGTTAATAGCAACCCACTAATATAATTAGTTAATAATGAGTAAAATCCAATTCTAAGGCTTTAGAATCCATATCTACTGTCTGCTTCATCAAAATGACCATATTCTTATTTCATTTCATTTAACAGTCCCTAAACATTCATTGAGTTCTTTAGAGTGTACTGAGCTGAACACCAGGCACTGATGATAGAGCAGTGAACTAAATAGATGCCCTCCCCCCAAAAAAAGTACTTACGGAGCTTATATTTCAGCAATATCATCCATCCGTACCCTTTCCACTGCCCCCACTGCCCCCCTACCTTGCAACCCCTGCCCAACCCAGTTCGTCACTTCTTGACTTAACTTCTGAAATGCTTTGTTTGACTTTGTAAAAATAATACTAACCAGTGTCATTTAAAGCACTTAATTATGTGTGTCAATCAACAATATGATTTTAATAGTGCCAAAATAATTTTGTGAGTTTCGTATGATTATTATACTACTCTCTTCCCCCAGTATTTTGGTCATTGCTCAGGTACTATAACTTAAAGAAGAAAAAGCATAGGTTGGAAGTGAAAATTGTGTACTCTTAGTAGTTTTATAATAAAACTTGTATTTAAAGACATTGCTGATTTTTTTTTAAAGATATTTATGAAGCTATACATTTTATACCATAGTTTTAGGATGGGTTAAAATTTCATGCTAAATGGTTTCTGAGTGTTTTAATTTTTACTTATCTGCATCATAGGTAAAGGATTTTATAACCTACGTTGAAATAATAGAATCCCATTTAGAATTATTTTAGTACTTCATTAAGAAAATGTAAAATGCTTTCATCATTGTGCTATTTCTCATTATAACTTGTTAATTTTGGCAAAGAAATGCTGTTTTAAATTCCCACTTGAAACAATATAAGGTAGGATAATCAGTATTTACTCAGTCAGCTTTAATACAGATTTTTGAGCAAGAGTATGGCAGATTGGCACCCTCTTTTGGTCATTTTATTTACCTACAGGCAGAAATGTAAGTAATAAAAATTAAGTTTGTCTTTGATATGTTTATCTCTGTCTTTTAGCTTTTACAGATCTCAACCAAAATAATGCTCTAAACTGGGTTCATATGAATAAGGTACACTATTATCTAGCTGTGCTTTGTTTCTGTAATTTTGTGGTTATTTGCTGTTTCCTCAGGCTGGCTCTCTAATTCTAGCATTCAGAATTGGCATTAATATTGCAGATTTTTGAACAAGCATTTATATTAAGCAAACTATTAGCTACAGTAGCACATTAGACAGTGTTTAACAATTTCATTGTCAATTTGGATTAATTAGAAAAACATTACATTTTAGTACCCTAAATAGCAGTTTTATTATTTGAATTGAAAGTAATTCGAGCTTCAGAAAATCGAGGCTGAATTACTTCGGTTTTTCTTCTCTCATTTTTTAAAAGACTTAATTCTGTAAGATCATATGGTAAATCGAATTTATATTATAGTTTGACAATATTTGTGTATAATAAGTTTGCTGACCAGTCCTGGAAATGGCCTATGCAAATAATTTATAATTGCAGGGGAGAAAGCTATACTCTGCCAGGTAGTTGAATAGTTTGGAAGGGGAAAATTTTTCTTGGTAAATTTTCAGCAAATTTGCTTTTGGTAGTTCTAGTATTTCAGAATTTCATTCGCCTGCCAAAGCCTCAAATTTAAACCAATTTAATAATACATAATAGATCTCAACTGTAGAATATTCTGTGAACTATTCCTTAATACTTAAGTTATTCACTATATTTGAACTTCCTTGTACTTTTTCACTGAAATAAGTATTTTAAGAATTTATATTATGCATTGCTTATATAGGCATTTTTAGAAATATTACTTTCAAATGCCAACCAATTATGTTTGTATTGTATTTATTGTACCAATTTGAAGAAATTGAGATTTGCGTTTGATTTCTAGTAGGCCTTTCAGTATATTATTTTGCTAAAATAGATAATAAACTGTTCAGTTGAACTGTTGAATTGAACTTTTTACTCTGTGAGGAAGTAATAAGATAATCTCCGACATGACAAACTAATATAAAATGTCGAACTTGACCGTTTTTAAAATTTATGATTCAATGAAACTTTATTTTTAAATAAACAATCAATTTTTGTATGTTTCACTGAATGAATTCCCTAGTTTTAATACTAGATATGGCCATATAGTTATTAGATAGGATTCTGAGAATATATGGCTTTAAATCTACTCCATTGTTTTACTCATATCTAATGGGTGATTCTATAAATACTGTGTAAATGTCTCATATAAACTTACCAACTTTACATCAGTAAATTATTTTACCTTATTTGAAATATACTTTACCTATAATACTTAGGAGTTTAATCTAGTAAAGGGACAAAAAAGTGGGATGATGTATTTGTTTTCAAATTTGGATGCATGATAATGGATATATTGGCAGTCTTTTTTAACAGACCTACTGAAAGCTGTGTGTTGCTGTCATCCTCTTCTGAAAATTACTTAGATAACATCCCATTTCAAACTCCCATCCAGCCTTTCTCCAGAAGCCCTCTTAGAATCAAACTGTATCCAAATGGAAAATTTCTGTCTTAGCACTTATTTGAAGTAACAAATTAAATTAGCTGGTAATTAGCTGACCAAATTAAATAGGAATGAAAAATACAAAGAATACTCTTGGAAATATTGCCCTGTAAATGGAATGCTAATCTCTAAATGCAGTTTATTAGAAAAATAGGATATTGGGGAAATAGTCAAAGATTGGATTGTTTGGATCTAGTAGGAGATATCTATTTTTAAAGTTTTTATGGTAATATCCTAAAGTCAGATTTGGTAGTGTCTTATACCCCCAGAATTTCCTTTGAATCATAATATTTTTCTCTAAATTTTATTCTGTCTACAGAGCTACTCTGTTTCTCATCTTAGTTTGTTAATTTGTTGTTTTAACATACACTTAGTTCTTTGGAATCTTGGGGAAATGAAATGAGATAATAACTATAGATATTTATACAGCAGAAGATACTTTTTTGGATACTTATCAGATTCTGTAAGGATAAAGTACACCTGGACAGCAAATTGCATGATTGGGAAGTTTATTAACTTTTTCAGGCCATTGTATGTAGTAGATTAGAAATGTAATTTATGAAATTGTGAGCTAAGGTATTACACTTCTGGGGACATGGACAAATATTGTACATCTTGTGTACAGATACAAGTGATCACAAAAGGCTTTCATTGTAAAGTAACCACCATACAGTCATCAGGGAATATAAAGTTTATCTGAAAAATCAGAGAGTGCTTCCAAATATTTCTTTTAACTTGCTAACTGTTGACTAAACATCTTAAAGTTTGAGTCAAATAGTTTACTTTAACTGGAAGTCATTATTATTCATGGATATGCGTTTGTTTTTAATATTTCAACATTTGTGAAAGACTGTTAAAACCATTGCTTATTAGAAAACTACTTTTTTTCATAAGTTTCTTTGTTTTGACAGTGATGTGAAATTTGAAAGTAAACAACGAACTGCATGTAAAGGAAAGATTGCCATATCGGGTATGCTATAAATGAATCTTTTATATTGCTGAATAAATTCTGTAAAGTAACTAGATGGTAGATTTTGTTTCATGCCCTGTCTCCCATTCTCTTCAGTTTGTTTTTCATACCTCTATCAGAATATTTGTTGTAAAACATTGCTTTCAGCATTGTGCTGTAAATTTATATAGAACTTTAGAATTTAAGAAAACTGTTTCATACATTACATACTCTATAGTTTTCTCCTTAGTGCAGTCTTGTAAAATAGAGTAATTGTCATTTTCTACAGACTCAGAGGTTAAATGACTGTGCTGGGCCAAACCCAAGTCTTTTGACTCTGTTCCTTTCCTGCTCAGAAGCTATAATGTTTTTAATGTTTGTCTATATCAGAAGTTCCGTGAGGTTTTGGTACCATGTTTATTTTGGTCATCGGTTTATACCCAGAAGTGAGCACAGTGCTTGGCTCATCGTAATTGCTCAGCAGCTACTGGACGGATGGCTGCTCTTCATTGCCTGTAGTGTAAAGACCAAACATTTTTCTTCAGTCTTCCATTTTGACCCAATTTTTTTTCTAGTCCTATCTTCTATTACTCCTAAACACAGGCTGTCTGCTTTAGCAGACATCTCCTTGGCCTGTCAACATAACCCATGCTTCTGACACCCAATTAGCTTGTGAAATAACTACACTTTCTTAAAGATCTGTTTGTTCATCTATATATAATATCTTCTCTGTTACCATTCCAGCTAGAAATGTTTCCTTTCTCTGAATTCCTAATGAAGTTAGGAGACCCTTCACCACTAGATGGCACTTATGCTGTGCAGTCTCAGTTTCTCCAAAGTGCTCAGGAAGCTAAAGACAATGGCTTGGAGATGCCACACACTGAAATGAATACATGTCTGACTTGCGCGTACACTAGTCACTTTTACAAATATTACCTCATCAGTACATTTTAGAAACAACAGTGTATACCTCCATTGGTCCTTAAGTAATCACTAGGTTATTTTATTGGCCAGAAGTTTTGTACTAGAGAGCCTGCTGCTGCATTTGAGTCATTGTCACCTAAATTACTGTTTCTAGTAATATTTTTCTGGATAAACAAAATTATCACACAGGACAGTAGACCTACATTTTACAAAGTACATAAATGACCAAAATCTGAAGAATTGCATTCAGTTAAGCAGAATATTCTTCAGAAAATAACTAGAATATATATAAATTTGTTGCTTGTTTTATAGTTATTTATATTTGTTTTTATCTTTCTAATTATACAAAACATGTTTTATCCTTGTATCCTTTTGCTGTCAAACATATACTTTTATATAGTATTGTTCATTGTGTGTAATAAATTTTCTTGTGACTAAATTACTATAGATCTTTAAGATTTTATAAAAATAAACATATCCTTCATTTCTTGCTTCGAATACAGTGCCACTCAGTATGCAAATGAGATATGTTAAGTTTTTGCTGTTAAACACTCAAATGCCATTATAGTCAACATCTATTGTCATTTCATAACAGTTTACTGACTGTAGCAATTCATGATATTAGAAATAACAGTACATTTAGAAAGGGGCTCTTAAGTAAAAGTATTTAAAATAAAAGGAAAAACAATTTCCTGCCCACAATTACTCAAGTGTAAAAATTGAACTTATTTCTGCATGTGTTTCTTCTTTCCAAAAGATAATTTTAAATTAAGAAACGGAAACTCTGAGAAAATGGGATACTTAGGTAATATCTTTTCATCTTTGCCTAGACTTCATTATATCTTGTGTGTGTTTGTAAAAACAGAAAATAAAAAATGAATTCACCTTTATAAATCCGTTTTGTTTTGATACTGGGATGAAAATGTGACTTTTTTTTGGTAAAGATGAATATTTGCAACCAAGTTTCATAATGTTTTGAGATTACTTTGATAGCCAGAAAATACCTGGGTTTTCTGTTTCCAACTGCACCACTCCCTGGCCAGATCTTTATGAAACTAAATAACAAATTTACTCTGATTATTTCTGCTTAACACCAAATATTTACCATATGTAAATGTAGTATTTACTGTAATTATATTGTGGTAATTAGCTTAGTCACCGACTACTAATTTAATGACTAAACGAAATCAGTTCACCAAGTATCTCAGTTTTCACTTTTGAAAATGATAGACTTCTGGGACTTGATATCATCAAGTCAGCTGTCTTATTATGGCTCTCTCAGTTTACCATTAAAATGTCGATGAAGACATAAAACAAGACAAAGGCTAGAGTACTGTAAACTGAAACTGAGTCAGCCATTTGCAAGAATCTGGAAAGAAGTTCTATCATTTGAAGCTGAATTAAGAAAGAGTTCATGGGTTACAAATCTGTTACTGTCTGAAGAGCACATGACTACCTGGGAAATCAGTATCCACCTTCTCTTGAGAAGCTGACATCTACCCTCCTCTCTTAGGCATAGGATAGAAGGCGGCTAACCCACAGGTTTTGGGTGTACTGCAAAGGATGTCAGGATCCATGTCCCTCCCATGATAGTGTAAATAGTTAATGCTCTGTTAATCCTAACTGAGCAAGAACAGCTGTGAATAAGTATAGTTGTGAAATGAAGTGAGTCAGCAATTGTGGTCAAGCAAGAAGTGGACTTTTTGACAGGACATCAGCCAAGTCATAATTATAAAACAAGGCATTTTCAGAAAAATAAAAAATATCTGTTATTTCAATATAACAATTTTAGAAATTCTAGCTAAAATAATAAGAATAAAATATGAAACTATTGAAAGTAGATAAGTTGAATACTGTTTGAAGATAATAGATTGTAGGCCAGGCACGGTGTCTCATGCCCCTAATCCCAGCATTTTGGGAGGCCAAGGTGGGTGGATCACTTAAGTTCAGGAGTTCGAGACCAACCTGGCCAACTTGGTGAAACCCCATCTCTACTAAAAATACAAAAATTAGCCAGGTGTGGTGGCACATGCCTGTAATCCCAGCTACTCAGGAGGCTGAGGCAGGAGAATCGCTTGAACCTGGGGGCAGGAGGGCAGGGTATGTGGAGGTCACAGTTAGTGGAGATTGCACCATTGCACTGAAGCCTGGGTGATACGGAGCAAGACTCTGTTTCCAACAACAACAAAAAAAGATTTTAAACTTACAAAACCTAAGAGAATTTACTGCAACACTATTTTAATGAATAAAGAATTCAGTAAAAGTTGCTGGATTCAAGATAAATTTACAAAAAGTAGTTGTTTCTCTTTACATCAACAATAACTAACTAGAAAATATAATAGCAAAAAAGATATCCTTTACAAGAAAACCACCAAAAAACAAAAACCTTAAATATCCAAGAATAATCTTAATGTAAAGACAAATTATGCTAGTCTATACAAAGACAGAATATTATAGAGCTATCAGTTCTCAAATTAACTTGGATAATGGAATACTAATAAAACACTTGAGAAAAGGGGATTTTGACAAAATTTGCTGTAAAATTTGTATAACGAAATTAGCAAGTAAGCGTATGGTGTTTTTAAAAACAGGCTCTTGCCTGTAATCCCAGCACTTTGGGAGGCCAAGGAGGGCAGGTTGCTTGAGCCCAGAAGTTGAAGAACAACCTGGCAAACATGGTGAAACTCTGTCTCTACAAAAAAAAAAAAAAAAGTGTAAAAATTAGGCATGATGGCATATACCATACACTAGTAGTCTCAGTTATACAGGAGGCTTAGGTGGGAGGTTTGTTTGAGACTGGGAGTTCAAGGCTACAGTGAGCTGTGATGGCATGACTGCACTCTAGCCAGAGCAACAGAGCAAGACCCTGTCCAAAAAAAAAAAAAAAAATTATGATATTGGTATTTAGCTAGACAGTAATTGATAAGTGATTCAGATTCATAAAATGTATAGCTAAGGAACAGACATTTATTCAGAATGGCATATATGATAAAGATGTCATTAATCAGTGAGGAAGAAACATATATGGAGTTAGAACAGTTATTTTTATAAGAATATAATTTTACTTCACGCAAATTTCACAAATAACTTTTAAAAGTACAAACCATGAACAATGCGTAGAAAATATGCTGTTAAATAATAACACTTTATCTTTGATAGTCAGAATTATGGAATACAGAGGTTCAGGTCACTGTAAAGAATAAAATTTACCAAAAGTGTTACTTACCGTGTCTTTTTCCCTTCTTTATAGATATTCGAATACCACTAATGTGGAAAGACTCTGATCACTTCAGCAATAAAGAACGTATGTATGATTTTAATTTGTAATTGAAATGTTTTCTTTAGTATGTAGTATATCTGTGGTTATTGAGAAAAAAGACTGCTTCCATGCTGAGATAAATTGATGTCATTTGACAGAATAAGCACCATCGTTAACTGTTTTCTGATTTTTAATATAAATATGTTGCAGTCACTTGATACTAATTAAGATAATGCATATAGAATATACTTTTAGTTGTTGATAGGAACCAGTGCAAGGACAATAAGTACCAGGTTCAGAGTGGGACAGGGGAAGGGAAATATGGAACAAAAGATAATGTTTAATGAATAAAGGTAAAGCCAACATTTCTTGTATTTGACCAGAATCTGGAAGGTTTTTCTGCCTTATTTTGTTACTCTAGGTTATTTAACAAAATGTAATAAGGAAATATTTTTAGCTTGATCTGATTTTTTTTCCTTCAGTATTTTATGGTTTTATTTAGTCTTTACAAATCTATGTATTGCTTAGGTCATGGAAATTAACCTCGAATGATTTCTAGGTGTTAGAGGCAAAGTGGGAAAGATATGATAATCCTTTAACTTTCTTGTCTATTGTGATAGCCTTGTTCCTTGTACTTAAAAAACTGAATCATATTAAGCATAATTAGTTTTATATGAAGAATTTAAAATCAGGTTAGTATTTGTTATTCAATTAGGAAATATAATTTACTTTACAAAGGAATACATGTGGGAATTAAGTAAAGCTTTCTGATTACTAAAGAGAATAAGTTTTTCTGAAGAGCTACATTTTCTCAATAATGAGGATTTAGCCCTTTAATCACCTAATACTTTTTAAAACATCACCAAATTAAAAGGCCTAGCAGCTATGTTTTTTGTGTTCTCATGTCTATTTTATTGTTTTTTTTTTTTTTTTTCTTCCCCCTTGTGGTTTCCTCCCTTGCTGTTAGTTTGGTGGAAAATATTTTGCTGTTGTTAATGTGCCTACTCTTAACGTCTTCTAATAAAAAACATCTTTTAAATAGAGTTGGAAACCAAAATGACAGAGGTGGTAGGGGGTGGGTGGGGGTGTGTGTGTGTGTGTGTGTGTGTGTGTGTGTGTGTGTGTGTGTGTG